TTACAGCGAGCAAGAGAATCAGTTGCAAAGGCGGAGACAGATGTGCTTTTGGTGTTGACTGGACAGGTTGATTTTCTTTGATGAATTTCTTTTCATTCTTGATGCCAGTACTTTGCTCCTTAAGTGTGCCTCTTGATTCAATCCATGCAGATGCAAATGGATCTTGATGAGATCGAAATGATGTTGAACTTTGTGATTCAACTGGATGTTGTAAGCATCTATCATTCTCTCTTCATGAATAAGATTTGTTTGGGTGTATTAGAACTAGATTATTTGTTCTCAACATTGTGTTTAATCTACTTCAAACAAAAATTTACCATACTATCTCAACTAACTTTTAATTATGCTGGGAATTTAAAAAAAATTGCATCACCAGTATTGTCCTGTTGGATAAACTTTTAACAGCTAAGAGTACTTGGTTAGAAAATACGATATGGCGTTAGAGACAGATAACAGTAAATAAATTGTGAGCTCAGCAATTTGAAAGGAACTATGTACTTTTCATTTTTGGGATGAACTTTTTTTCCAACTTCAAGAGAAAAAAACTAGATTTTGGAGGCTTTGGAAATGTCAGTTAAGTATCCAAGTACATTTTCTGAGGGTTATATGTACAGTGGAAAAGGTAGTAAGTAAAAACCAAATTCAGGGCAACAGGTGTGCGTTTTATTAGGATTTGATTGCATTAGTCTGCAGTTCTAAGTTAATATCTTATAACTTGGATTCCTTTGCTGATATTTTATTGTCTGATTGTACTAGTTATATTTTAATTTTTCTGGGTAGATCAATGCTCGAGCAACTTACAGTCTTTCTTTCGGAGGTGCATGTCCTGATATATTTCTACCTGATTATGAGACTGGATCTTTAACTCCTGAAGACTGGTCGGAGGAGAACAAGAAGTTGAAGGCATTATACCCGAAAAGAGAGTGGATATTGTATTTGCCTAAAACTTATCACCCTTTATTACTTCAGCAACATCGGCAAAATGTAAGGAAGGCCAGAAAGGATGTTAGTGATGCTACTGCTGTAAGTTACGTAGGGCCAAATGCCAGTACCTCGCTATCTTAATTATGCTTGTATTTTTTTTTTTCAAAAAAAAAAAAAGATACAGATTACAAAATATTTTCTGCAAGATGAGGTTAAGGTGATAAGAAAAGAAAAGAAAAATCAGGTTGGATAGTTACTTCTTTTTTGCAACAGTTTAGTATTGTAGTCATTGTTTTCTCACATGACCATATAGCTTCAGGCATTTAGTACAATGCCCTTTTCTTGCCATTAGGAAATGAAGAGGAGAAAACTGGAAGGGAAGAACACAATACTAGACGGAGAAACAAATATTTCGTCTTTAAACATGCAGGTACTGTAAGTGTTAGGAATTGGCTTCTAATACAGGAGCAGACCTCAAATTTTTAATCAGTATAATGTGTTACAGGTATGATCTTGTTACATGATCATGTACTC